ACCCATTTCGGGAATCTTTCAGAAAGTTCTAATCCAGTTCTTTTAAGTTACCCTTAAGAATATCTTTGTCAGGTTTTATAGTTTTCGTATATTATTTCTAGGTTTTATTTTTTTAAAAATGCTTCTAATTTAAAAAAATATTTATGCTTTATTTATTTTTGAAAAATTCAAAAAATATTAGAAATAAAAAACTGTTTTCAAAGTTTAAAAAATGGTCACAAAATTTTAAAACATATTCACAAAGTGTTTAAAAAGTTTAACTTTTTCAAAAGTTTTTTTTAGTTTGATCAAAACCAAATGACCCCCGCCCCCCTAAAGTAGAAAACGGAAAATCTAAGTAAAAGCAAGAGAGAAACCAAAGAAAAAAAGGGGTAGAGTCATAGTGTTGTACCGCTCGCACGGGGGAATAAAACAACACGTAAGAGCGAACTGGCCCGATGGCCCATTGACCACACCATGTGCGTCACGCGCCCTATTTGATGCAAAATGTATCATATAGGAGCTCCCCAAAATCCCATTCGTCTAGCTTGAGAAGGACCCATTTTCAACCTTAAGTCACTTAGGGCCTTTTGATTTTCCCAGGAATTTGGACGAGTATAATTGTGCATTTTTCATACAACGACTGTTTGATTCTTATAGGATTAAATCATACATGATTCTTTTTTTCTGAAGATATATTTTTACTCTATTTCATAAAAAATTAGCATCCACCGAAATCTCTTGAAAAAATCCTTCATGTTTTTTTCGCCAGTAGTCACGTTAGTTGGTTCCTACTCGGGAGTTGTTGGAAAAGACTAAAACCTAAAAGAAAACCAATGCCAGGTGGACCCTCTCACATACTTAATTAACAGTTAACATAATTATATAGCACATCATAATTCACATAATTGCGTATCATGATGTTGTGCCCCTCGTTTAACTACGAGCTCGCGAGGGTTTCATGCATTTACTCATGATTAGTTCATCATATAGGGATAAACGACAAGCCTTTTATATTCGATTTTCCCTTTTTTGAATCATGCCAAGTATATCCGATGAAGGGAGTGTTTAGTAGAGGCAACTCCATCTGGATTGCACAAAAAATGGTATTTAAGTGGTTATCTATACAATTGTCTTTGAAAATCTCATCTCCTACTTACACTTTACTTTAAAAGACTCATAGAACAGGAAATTATATATTCTTATACTTCCATTTGGTAATTTTTTTGGGAATCTCCCATCTACCAATTGGCCACAGACAAGGCTTATTACTCCTCTTAACAATATTTATCTCTTAGCATCCCCAGCTAGTCAAATGATTGGCTTTCCAACTACTTATTTTGTTATATATTTTTCATAATTATTCTATTACTAGATAATTGCCTATGTGTTGAAGAAGAGACATAATTTGCACATCACCCCTGCCTCATGATAAATAACATTTTTATTGGCTCATAATGTCGCATCTACATAATACAATCACCATGAGCACACAGACTCTGCATGACTAGTATGCACACAAGCAACATCAACATACATGCACACAAAAAGAAAGAAAACTAAAAACACAACCTCCAAAAGTCCCGAGGCGAACTACAACATGTGGAAACAACCATCAACATCAACCACCATTGATGACAACACCTAAGTTGTGAGAAAGATGCTTCAACAATGACACCTTTAAGAAGGGAACAGAGCCCATGTGATGCAGTCATCGAATCCACCCATGGACACTAGATCATGGGTTTTCGTCCTGAAGAAAACCCCAAGCAAATTTCAGATAACGACTTCAACAAGGGAATGCCACGGAACACTATCACTGACAGGTACAACCGAAGCATTTGAAACCTAAAGTTTTCACTCCGAAGCACATGAGACTTTACTAAAAAGGACCACCAAGCTCACATCATCCCGTACTGCCACTCCCACTTGCAATGAAAGGAGCCACCGTAGCAAACTAATCCTTCACGCCTCGACAAGAGTATATGCTTGCAACACTTATGTGGATACCACTGCACAAACGTACATGCCCATGATACGTCCATTTAGCATCATTATTTCTTATTTTTTACTCTTTATCAATGATATTTGGCACATTATTGCTCAATTCTAATGCTTGTTTCCCACTGATTTGCATGTAATACACGAAAAGGAGAATTCTTAGGAAATTATAGGACAACTGGAAACTAGGGTAAAAAATACAACCGAAGAAAAATGATTTTTCTGTAAAAGCTATGAAACTTTTATTGAATTTTTTCATCTGATCCCAGGTCATCCAGTGGATTTTCTGGTGACCCATTTCATCACCCCACTAGAGTTTTCTGCTGAGCCGTTCATACTTCTCACAAAACTCTAAAATCATTTTAAATACTCCCATACAACATGTGGGTAAGGCTTGAACGATTGAACCACTGATTTTATAAGAATTTCTTTTGCCGCATGATACATATATTTCTCCGACCAATTGGTACATCTCTTGCCGAAAAATCTATCCATGATCGGTTGAAAAGTGACTATCCTTCATTCTTCCTTTCGGGTTGGGATCCTAAATACATGCTTTGAAAGTACTCACCCCCACTCTCAGTTCGGCCTTGATTCCTTACTGATATGCTCCGCGCAAGACTCATTGAATAAGAAGGAATACTTTACTACTCTTAACCCATGGCCTTGTCAAACAACGCTAGTGATCTCCGCACCAGTGCAACCTGCTCAACTGAAGCCTCAAAAGTGGAAGTTATCGTCTACAAAAGGACTTTTGGAGATACCCAGGATGCTTCTGGCCACTTCAATAGGGGTTAGGTTCCCTCCTTCAAGTTCCATTTCCAAGATACACGCTAGGTTTTTCGCAATGAAGAGAAATAAGTACAGATTGAGGGGCCGCCTTGGTGGAGACCTCTCGAAGGATTGACAGCTTCAAGAATTTCACCATTGCATTTAACGGAGTACCATACCAAGCACACACAACTCCACACCCAGCTAGTCCATCTCTCGTAGAAATCAATCTAATTAAAGCCTCAAGGAATCTCAAGTTGACGTGATCATACACCTTAGCGGAATCAAGTTTGCAGGCGCAATGGGTGTTCTGAGGGTTCTTTCCGTGATGGATCTTATGAAAAACCTTGAGAGCGGTCATCCTCCCTAGAATGAGTGCAATTTTGTGAAAACACTTGAAACCAATCATAGTATTTTTAGTGATCATCCTCCCTAGAATGAATGCAATATAGTGAAAACACATGAAAATGACCATCCCCTGGAATGAAGCGCTTTGAGTTTCAGAAATAATCTCATCAAGCAGAGGGCGTAACCGGTTAACTATGCACTTCGAGACCACCTTGTAATAATGTGGCTAATAGGGTGGTAATCTGTCATGCACCTCGAGACCACCTTGTAAATAACGTCGCAGAGGCTGATTGGGATGTAATCTTTCCAACCTTTGCGGATTATTGCCTTTAGGGATCATGGCAATAACTGTATCATTGACTCGCTCTGGCATCACACCCTCTTAAAAAACCTGTAACACTGCACTACTTCCTCATTTAGTGTGTCGCAATTCCGCTGAAAAATTGAGCCGGGAAGCCACCCCCCTCTCCCCACAGCCATCATTTCTAAAGCGATATATCTCACGTCTATGGAAGCTCATTTCCGAGACATGATAACTGTTGGAGGACACTCCATGTAATGCTCCCAAAGAGAATTAGACAAGCCATCTTCACACAAGGAAACTATAAACCGAGCTAAACAAGAAAAATGAAAAGGTAGCAGATGAAGGCACACATCCACGCGTATTGTTGCATGTGATCTGTGAGTTAGATCACCGGATCTTCCAAGATACTACAACTCAAAAAAAGAAAAGATACTACGTCCAAACCTCTTGAACGTCAGTAATTTGCACAGCACGCGAAAGACTAGCGTGAATCGCGCGCGCATCTCCCATGTCCTAGGAAGATCACATCCCCATGCGTAGTTACCAACCACAAGCCCACGATATGGGATCTCCCAAATCTGCACTGATCTAGGCTTAAGCACCTCCCGATCTCATTTTTCAACGCATTAAGCACCCCCGGGATATGGATAGATCACATCACTTGCATCGCACGTATGCAACCTGCGAGGCTGCGATTACCCCGATGCAGTCCTCACGCGCCGGTCGAAATGCGCAACCGATTCACGAGGCGGAGGCAACTAATTAAACTCGGATCGATCGATCGATCTAGGAGTACTTACTCATCTGCAGATATATATATTGATCCGCGTATCTTCGAGTCCTTGCGTAATCTACGTGCAGATCAGGGCTATGATCCTGATACGATTTCTCACCTTCCCAGCTGCGTCCCGTTTTGTATATGCAACATATTGCTGAGGCTCCGCTGTCACGGAGTACGTCAACTACACGAGTTGGCGATTTTGTTAATGATTAGCAGCCGAAGATGGCTGGGCGTACTCGGGCGCATGATGTGATCGAATCATGCGTGCATGCTAGCTAGCTGTGACACTGATGCCGACGCAAATTGCAGCGCTCGCGACAAGCGTGGATCCCCTTTAAAACACCCTCACCCAACGCGTGGGCACTATCATATTGTCCACAACCCCTGTTGGCCAGGAGCTCCACGAGTGGCCATCTCCCACCAGATCTCCATGTACAGTCACTGACATGTGAGCCGGGTGGATCCAATTTAAAATGTCCGCGGAGGGAAAGACATCCAGGCTCGGTATTTTAATGGACACGATCGCGCGATCGAGGGGGAAAAGTCACGTCCTACTTGGCGAGGGGGCAGCTGCGCGATCGTTCTTGGAAGCTGGAGATGTGGCTTAGAAAATCGCTGCGGCAGATCGGCCTGAATCTTTCCAAGGATCTCGTCCAGCTAGCGCCCCGTCGACGATGGATCGCCAATAATCAATGGCGCCCTCATGGACTCCTACTTGTATATATATGCGCGCCCTGCTGGCTGTCGCTGTTGGTGAGTCGCCATCGTCGGTGTATATAAACGTATTGTTGCATAGCACGCGGGTGATACTACTATATGGGGAGCAGCAGCGTCGACGGAGCCGGCGAGATGTGCTTGGAAGCTGGCGCCGGCAGGGCGGGGAGGCGCGGCGGGAAAAAGGCCGCGGAGATGAAGGCCGCCAAGCAGCCGCAGCGCGGGCTCGGCGTCGCGCAGCTGGAGAAGATCCGGATGCAGAACCAGATGATCGCCGCGTACCGCTCCGGCCTGCCGCCGCCGCCGCCGCCGCCGCCGCAGCAGCAGCAGGTGCCGTACGCCGCTGTCCCGACGGCCGGCGCCGCATCGTCTTTCCAGCCGTACCTAGCTGTAAGTACCTACTTGAAATCGAAATGCTGCATGCATCAGATGACATGTATGCGTGGCTTAAGCTTACCATTGTGCGCGCGCGTGGTTTCTCAGGGTTGCTTTGAGGCGATGGACCGGAGGATAGCCGACGTGCAGTACAGCCAGTACTACGCGGAGAACCTGCTGCCTAACAGCTCCAGCCGGGCGCCGGCGACGTCGCCGCTCTTCGTCGTCCATGACTCGTCGTCGTCGGGCCAGAGGCAGCAGCCGCCTCACGAGTACGACTACTGGATGCGCCACAGCCACGAGTCCAGCGGCCGCGGCGGCGCAGGAAGCACGGAAGAGCTAGATCTGGAGCTGAGGCTGTAGGTGACGCGCGCCACGGTGAGCTCGATAGGTCAAAGTGTCTACTAATTAATCATGTGTCCGTGCATGCATGGGCGAAGCGCCATGCGAGAGAGAGGATCAGAGCCAGAGGAAGGGCTTAGAATTAGAGTGATCGATAAGCTATCAAACTGGCGGTGCCAGAGTTAGCTGCTGCTTAATTTGCTGACGGAAAGGCTGATGCTTTCGTTCTGGAACTGTGGGATGACTGATAAACGTACGCTGGTACCCACGATCGATATATGCATGTAAATCCTGTTTAACACCTTATTAATTGAAAAGGTTACCAGTTTGTAGAGGAAACATATATACATGTGTTGCGTAGTAGTACTTCAAAATTGACTTCAGACGGGGGAATTTGAGCGGCCTGTATGGCTGTGATCTGCATGTACCTGGGTCCATGACTTTTTTCCTTCTTTTCTTTTCTTACTAGCAAACATGTCTGTCAGTCGTATCGGAAAAAAAAATTATCTCATGCCCCTAACTCCATAAGCATAGTTCAATATCCTCCTTCCAATAGTTTCATAGTCTTTATTGAAACAAATCATCCCCTCGTGTCGTCGCTTATCCTCATTCTCGTCCCCGCCGACTATGACCAAGGTATCATGACAACACGTCCGAATGTGCTCAATCTCAAGGTGACAGGCTCAGCCAGCACATGACACACCTGTCATTGAACCGAGCTGGCATAGGAGAATGTTTATGGACTCGAAGCTTCCCCTCCCCTCCCTCCCCCGCCGCCACCCGTGAGGCGTCGGGGAGGGTTCCCGATCCCCGCCGACACCCCCCCACCTCCTCCCTCCTCCATCGTCGCCGCCACCAAGGGGCGCGAAGCGGGGATCCTTCGTCCCCCGCACTTGGGGTATGGCACGGGCCAGATCTCGTGGCTGGGAGAGGCGCTCGGTGCCGGGCGTGGCAGCGCCCCGGAGCAGGCCGGCGATGGTGGCATTCGACGGGCGACGGGCGGCATGGTCGTGGTTCGGGTTGGTGGTGGCGTGGGCGGCGGTGCTTCCCGTTGGGAAACGTAGCATGGAATTTCAAAAAAAAATTCTATTCTCACGAAAGACCTATCTAGGAGATGCATAGCAACGAGAGGGGGAGAGTGTGTCTACGTACTCTCGTAGACCGAAAGCGGAAGCATTTGACAACACGGTTGATGTAGTCAAACTTCTTCTCGTTCCGACCGATCAAGTACCGAACGTACAACACCTCCGAGTTTTGCACACGTTCAGCTCGATGACGTCCCTCGAACTCTTGATCCAGCATTGTATCGAGGAAGTAGATGAGTTCTGTCAGCACGACGACATGGTGACGGTGATGGTGAAGTGATCCGCGCAGGGCTACGCCTAAGCACTGCGAGAATATGACCGGGGTGCAAACTATGGAGGGAGGCGCCGCACACGGCTAACAATTGATGTTGTGTCCTTGTGAGGCGCCCCATCCCCACATATATATAGGTGGGAGGGGAGGAGAGGCAGCCAGGGGTGTCCTAGGGTTGGCCGCCGGCCCCTAGGGGCCCTGCCTTGCCCTGCG